CCACAGGACCTGTTCTTGGTGCATTTTAGGCTCAATTTAGCTAACTTACATAGCTGATTGTGTCATTTTAACTTCAAACACTTCTGTCAGGTCAACCATTCACAGATGTCTACCAGATATTATAGTTCATCTTTACCACTAATGACACCATGGAAAGAAACCAAGCAATTTCATGTGTCTACTTTAAGCCTTCTTTCTTGCTTTTTTTATAGAGCTAAAATTGTAGTAGTCATGGGTTTGCATATTAAGTTTCTCATTTACACTAGTTATGGTTTCAACAAGGGGCTTATGATTATAGTATGTCTTCACTAAAATGAGAATGACTTGAAGTTTAGATGTTAGCAAAGAGGATGTTTTAGAATATGATGTACTTAATTGTTAAGTTACTACTGCCTACATTAACACTGAGTACTATGTTTGGGTACTCTCAATAGTTTATTAAATCAGCTGTCACTTTTTAGTCTTAGAACACACTCTTATTCAGAGGTCAGTTTTAAGGTGAAAAAATGGAACTTGTTAACGCTTTTAGTTTAGGAAGTGATTTCTTAAAAGTTTCTTTAATTGAGCTTTTGAAAAAATCAGTTTATTCAGCCAAGTCAAAACTGCTGAGTCTTTTTTTGCAACCAGATAAGACTATACTGGACACTGACTGGAAGCTTCATGGCTCTGTTGTTCCTAGCCCCTATCAGATTCTTTAGAATACGAAGGGACATGTAAAGGAACATGTTTTAAAGATACTTGCATTTACTGAATTTAATACTGAATTTGCTACTGTTAGATTACTATAAGTAGTCCTACAGCTGAGTGGTTTGCAGTATGTGCCCAAAATTTGAAGTTGTTTAGCTTCTTCAGTATGAACATGTATTTTTGTGGTTAAAGATTAGCAAAATTCTATTCACTGTTGGATAGTTTCTGCTTTATGTGTGACAGTATATACACTTGGAGATGTGACTGCACTGAGTTCATGCAAATGTTCAAACAGGATAATCTTTGCATAAATTGGATGGATATATTTACAAGTCCTAAAGAGATTGTGCCAAGAACAATTATTTGTCCAACAATTTAGTGCTGAAACTTTCTCATCAGAGAAAGCTGCCCTCTTCCCATTCATTCCACATATAGATATATGAGGGGAGAACTTCTGAAGTGTGCACTCTGAACATGGATTTGCATGACATTGTCAAAATGTCCTTGTAGCACTACCTGTATTCTATGGGTAGGATAGTCCCTGCTTCTGTATTGTGTAAATTTGTAAAAATTCAAAAGCAATTGCTACTTTTCTGTAAACTTTCTAACATACATAGTCTTAATTTTTAAGTTGAGGTGACAATTTGTCACTTAGCCATATAGCTCTGAATCAGTAGTTAATTATACCAAAACCATGGTCTCAATTCTGCTGTGTATGAATGCAGTTGTTATTCTAGTATTGAAAGGCTAGGTTAAGCAGGATACAAATGTTTATACAGTTAAAAAGAAAATAAAAAGCTAGTGTGAGAATTTGTAGTGCTAGGGAGAAGTTAACGATTGGCTCTGGAGTTAAAAAAAACCCTAGCATTATGTTGTGACTTTCCACTGAGATGTGGACCATCTGACACAGCAAGAGTTCACTTGCTACTTAGCACAGGACTGATGAGACACACAGGTGAGGGAAATGCAAAATATTTTGCAGGAATTTAGCCTTGACCAAAGGGGCTCTTGGAGTCAGGATGATGTGAAACTTGCATTAACATATATGCTTATATATCAATGCCTTTGTACTCCTGATTATCTTTAGTTCCATTATTTCAATATGGTTGCTGAGCAGTTATCTCCTAAAACCAGGTTGTTTTAGGAGATAACTGCTCAGCAACCATGTTGAAATAATGGAACTAAAGGTAGTCCCAAGAGTTAGAGACTAGTTTACCTGTGCATGGAAAACTATCTAAAACAGTCAAGTTCAGTGATAATACTTCTAGTGCTTGTCTTGAAGATCAAGGAAAGTCACAGTGGAATTTTCCAGATTGAGTAGGGCACACTGTAGCAGAACTGTCCCTATCAAACCATTGCGGGTTTTTTCTACAAAACAACTTGTAGAAAATCTTTGCTGATGTGACCTACAACATTGAAATACTTTTAAGTTCTGCTTTGAAATCAAAGCTTCATAATTGCATAGATGATAACTGTGCTTTTTAAAGATATGATTTGCATATTTGGGGAGCACAGAGCAGCGTTTTAGCATTATAAAGCCTAGTTGCACAAAGGTTTAAAATCAACCTCGTACCCAAAGAATGACTTGACTGCTTTTGAGATAGTTAAAATTGTTATTGTTGCTTTATAGTATGTAGTTTATTAGTGAATTGGAATAGATATTAAGTTTGAAGCACTGATTAGGTAGATACTGCCCAAACTCACAAGTAGATAGTGGGATGTGGGTGGTGAGAGGGCAGGATACAACTCACATGTTTAAATCCTGCTTTACTTCAGTGTATTCACAACACTTATATTGTACAGTGCATGCTTACTGAATGTTTCCACTGCCAGAAATGAAGTAATATGATTCACAGAAACAAACCTCTTTTTTAGCTTTCTAGACATGAACTTTCTAAAGTCTATAGATGATGGGAGAAATTTATTTCTCCTGCTTCCAGCAGCACAAGACCTTTCACTTTGGATACACAGAACTTGCAAAACAGAGTGATGCAATGCTGAAGTTGCAGTCATTGCACCATGTCACCCAGTGGAGCAGTTTTAAAATGCATCACAAACATGTGTTACATATTTTACTTTTCCATTTCTCTGTACAATCCATGACCAAGTGGGACAGTTTTAGGAGTTAACCACTATGGTGCCCTTTCTTACAGGCTTTTGCTCTCCAGAGCAAAGTGAAGTCTACAGTAATAGGTGTTTGCCAGGTAGTCATGTGTTATCTCAATGTATATGTAGATAGCAATGATCAAAAACTAAATGAGGAAAACTTGAGTAAGCCTGTAACAAAGATAATAATATATCACACATGGTTTAGTCCATTTTTTACCAGTAGTAGTTCATTTTCCCTGTCAGTTACAGAGGTAGCAAAGCATGGAAAACATGTTTACTTGGCACTGGTTTCTGCAGGAGCACTGACTACCTACCCCTTACTGTCTTCAGCTGAATTTAAGACTTCATTAAAAATTCTGATGAAATCTTTTTAATGCTAGGGGACAGTAGGGAACAGATGCGGCTTTGTCACTGCTCACACCTTCTATAGAAAGCAAATTTGTTATGGTAAGCAGGTTCTTTTAATGGTGCTATTGAGAAACAAACCTGCAAGGGCATGGAAGCAGATTAGTCACTTGAGTTTCATTCTGCTGCTTCTCAGGACAGCTAGAGAACGGAATGAAAGCTAACCAGTCCCAAAATAAGGTTGCTCTGAACTAAAATAGTAGTGATGACTTGCTGGCAGTCAAACCCAGTTGAAGATTACCTTGCAAAGTGTCTGGCATTTGATCTGGGACGTGGCAGGAGACAGGAGAAACTTAATGTAGTTTTCTTAATGTATCATTAAAATTATATAAGGGCTTCCAAAAAGAAAATACAGGATCTGATCAAATGAGCGTAGCAGATTGCTTACCTGAGAGGAAGCAAGTACTCATGGTTGGTTAAGGGAGAGAGAGATGAAAAAAAGGCTTCTCTCTCTCCATCCCAATGTTGTATCAAGTTGATGAAACTTCTTAGGATGAAAGTAAAATCCAGGTTTCATCATGGCTTGTTTTGCAAAGCTGTTGAGAAGTCAGTTTCTGACTCATAGAAAACCTCTGTTTCAAAACTTGCTTTTTCACTCCCAAAGCATAAATACCTGCTTGCTGAGGAGCTTAGTTTGAAATTAATCTACATTCTGCTGAACTGTCATGGAAAGCCACAGTGACTGTGGGTCAGATACCTTCTGTCCTCATTACATATATACCAAATGGGTGGCTGTGTCTTTGGTGTATTTTAATGGTATTATGTGTGGTGGATTTCATCTTACTCTGTTGAATTACTACAGTGAGTACAACCAGAGAGAAGAGAACAGTAAAATTGAAGCATGATTACAGGGTTCCTTTAAGTGCAGTACAGTCAAGCCAGAAGCCTTGCAAGTAGAGGATCTTGAGGTTTTATGCAAACTATTTTCAGTCTCTGATGGTATCCTAGGAAGACCAAAAAAGTTAAAAGTAATTTTTATTCTGTCTCTCTTAACTTGGGCGTATTAGAAAACATGGGAGGAAATCTCTTAGTTGAGCATCAAACCAGTGAAAACATTTATGATATATTAACTTTTGTTACCTCCAGTGAAAATATTTGTGGGAAATTATGGTAACTTGTTAATCTTCATGTGCAAAAAAAATTGCTCCCTATAAGGCTAATAATCTATTAGTAATCTTTTCATAATTTAGCTTTTAATTTTTCCAATGTTTAACTATTTAGTGCTGACAATTTGTAACTCAAGTCTTTGTATGCAAAGAGTCCCAGATTAATCACCCAGAAGCCAGGAAGAAGCACAGTTTCAGCAGACGGCTGAGGGCCCATTTGAGATACTTACACAAGCACCAAGAAAATGCTTTCTTTCAGATGAAGTGACTGTCCTTCTTGTCCTGTAGTCACCACCTTACTCACTGCTTAACTCCTGCATGAAATGAAATTGAGTTCTTACAGACATTAGTCTCCTTCATTAAACAGCCTAATGCTTAACTCGGCTGTGGATCACTAGAACTGAGTCAAGCAGTTCTTCTGAAGGAAACAGGCCATTGCAGGCTATAAAAGTGCATACACAGAACAGTTTTTCACAGTGCATCTCTAGTTTTATATTTAGATGCTATTAAACTTGCTGTTAATAAAATCAGGTCTTGGTATAATAAATTCAGGTCTCCAGCTTTTCTATCACTCTCCATCCCTACTGTGTCTGAGCATGCAGTCTTCAGAAAGCTCTTTTGTCTTCCTATCAAGTTGCCTGTTAAAAAGTACACAATTTGTATTCCAATACTGAGGATTTTGTTCTCTTTTAGGATCGAAATAGAATGTATGACAGTCTGAATATGCACTCGTTGGAAAACTCCCTTATTGACATAATGAGAGCAGAGCATGATCCACTTAAAGGTATGTTATTATGCTAAATAAAGAAAAACAAGGGTCATCCATTCTGCATATTTGAATTAATACTGATAGCTAATTTAGATTCTAGGTTCGTATTAAAATAGCATGTGAATTATTTTTCTCAACTCACATGAAAGGTCATTCTCAAGCTGTATTTTATGGAAAACATTGGTTTACAGTTTATTTTAAACTTAAGCTTTAGTGTCTTCATAGGTTTTTCTCCCTCTTCCCACCATCCTTCCCTGTGTTCCCCCAAGAAATTCATAGTTGGTTTTATTTGAAAGTTACATGTCTGCTGTAGGCAATTCAACCTCAGTTTGCAGAGACAAACTGTTCTGTTAGTGGTAGCCAAAACACGGTGGGAGGGGAATCAAACTGCTATCAGTTCTAGCTGGTTAATTTTCCCTTTCTTTACAGTGGAAGCTGAAAAGAAAATTAAATCCACTGATAAATGCAGCTTTTGTCCTTTCAAATATTTTTTCAAAGCTCCTGAAGGATAATAATGCATCTAACTGTCCAGTTTCCATTAGTCTCAGCTAGTCCAGAAGTACCCTTGGCTTTAGAATGTTGATTCCTCATACTCTCTGGGCTCTGTTCAGATTATTTGACCACAGCAGTAAGCATATATCTAATATCTGTGGGCTTCAATTTTAACTCATCTATTCACTGTGCATTAACTCAGTCTTGAATCCTGTTTTTCCATACTTACTCTCAGGTGTCATCTACCATTGAACTTTGGGGCAGGGAGCGCAAGCCGTTTTATATGGCCTGATCAAATGTTACTTTATTTGTGGTGTTCTAACTAGACTAACACAATCTAACTTGAAAATTATTCAAAGCTTCAGGCTTGGTTTGCAGAAATTAAGTCTTAGTATTGAAGTAATTGCAAAAATAATAATTAAAAAACACCAAAAAATAATTTTTATATTATTTACTCCCATCCGTTCTCTTTCTAGAGGCTCCTGGACTTAATATATGTTACATTAGCATGTAAGCACTTGTGTTCTCCTAATTTGAAAGAAGCTTTGCAAAAGTCTCTTAAGATCTGTACTCAGTTGGAAGACCTTTAGTATTCAGATTGCATGTAATAGTATTGTAAGACTTACAGTGTAAAGCCAAAACTTTGGTATTTTTCTTTTCCCAAGCTGAAAATCTCTACGAAGAAGGAGTAAGTGGGTAGTGTTTAAGCCAGTTAATTTTCCTCTTCTTTAGAGAGGAAGCTGAAATTAAATTTTTTTAGCTGTTCACAGATCTGATCTCTTGTTTCTTACTGCCTACAGAGAATTAATTCCAGGTTTAATTTTATAATTTTAAGTCCATTATTAAATTCAGTTTCTGTCTATTCTGCATGTTTGCATTTGCATTACGAAGTACCACAAAGGGGTCGAAACTTGTGAAGTTAGCCCAGTGGTAACTGCTATGGACCAAAAGCATTCATATCCCATCAAAGACAAGGTAACTAGTAGTTAGATTGTTGCTTCCACACTCAGGTGGTGACTGGTATTTCTTTGACTGTCTGAACCCAAATCAGGAAGGATATGAAAAGGTAAAGCTACCATTAGGCATAGAATTAGAGAATGCAGATCTTCTATTGAAGATCTTTCTCACGTCCCTGAAAACCAGTCCATTTCTTCACTTCTTTTCTGTGCACACTGACTTGACAAATGGAAGTGGTTGCTCTCCATGCCATCTTGCTGTTTTCATTTGGCTTTACAACTCGGAAGAGTTTTCAGAGGCACTGTGAGATAAGACCCATTTTTATTCATCTATTCATATTTCATTATGATACAATAGATGAAAACTGCATTTCCAGTAATAATTTTTCAGTGAGAATATGACAAGACAAGGCTTTAAGATTTTCCAATGAATTGGGTTCATACATAGGCACTTTTAAAAAAAACTCAGTAAAGTTTCCATAGTTACTCTGTGCTTTCTAGGGACATGAGTGTATGGTTTCAGTCTGCAATTACGAGATTTATCGGGTTTTTTAACAGTTTCCCAATCATTCTTGCAGTGAAAATTCTGCTCAGTTTTATGTTTGAACTAAACCAGATGGAAGCCATAGATAGTGATGAATTCAAAGGAAATCCATTTTTTTTGTTCAAGTGCCAGAGAACAATGCACACGCCAACTGAATTTAAATAGAGTAATTGTGTGCTCTCATTTAAATTGGTTGATGAAGATTTTTTTCCTCTTTGAAAACTATTATTTCAGCTGAAACAGCTACATTATTAACAGTGAGATATGAGAAATGTTCCTTACTGACTGAAAATGAGAAGACAAGATACATCCTAGAATAGCCTTTTAGTTCCTCTCTATCCCTCTTCTGTTTAGTCACCATTAGTTGGCATTTCTGTAATTTCCTAGCAACTTCAACTTTTTTTCTACAAACCATGAGACACTGATTTTGTTATTTCAGTCTCTGTGGCTTTTCTTTTCACCACAGAAAATCTGACATTTACTTAAGAACCCATCATATTTGCTAGCAGATTGCACAGGATTAAGAATATTATTGTTATTTATTTGCTGTTTGTACTAATATATAACATACTTGTAACTACAGAATATTTTGTAACTAGAGAATATTTTTCTGACAAGTTTTTAAGCAAGTCTAAGCATACTAAAACAATGCATCTTTTATATCTGACCACAGCAGGAAAATGAAAGTTCCTGGAATTTTAAGCACGTGTTTCAGATTTAGCTGCTTACAATATCTGGAGTATGACTAAGCATCTTGTCTCAGATTTTGCACAATGCAGAACAGACACTGTGTGTACTAGCTCACAGCTATGTTTTGCATGTTAAGATCCATTTTAGAAGGAAGCAATTTTTGCCACTTTTGCTTTCATGAACTTGAAAAAAACCTCATTTCAAATATGATTCACTGAAAGCAAAGTTTATGCCTGCCAAAAAATTGTTTTTAGATGTATGGTTTTGGCTTCACTTAGACAAATTTAGTCATTACTACACACATGATCAAAAGAAAGAAGTAATCTTTAGCTTTCGATAAGACACTTTTTCAAGGTCAGATAGTAGGGGATAGCTGCTTGGCTTCACTAGTCATAGCAGAAATATTGACCCCATTAAAACTAATCTTTCCCATGCAGCTTTCTTGAAATGCATTTCATAATAAGACATTAAGTCATGTTTAAGATTACCCCATCCAGTCAATGGAATATAAAGTGAAGTTAAAACTAATAAAAGTTCAAATTAATTCATTTTTGTGATTTTTCATTTTCGTCATAGTTCTTAAATACCCTTTTTATTCTTCTGATAGCCCTTAGAACTATTTTGAGAGGACTACAATATTGATAGCCAGAAAATCATAGGTATTACCAGGACAGCTCTTGTCCAGACATAGCTCTTCTGTACTTGGATTTTTATTTTTTTCTTTTCCTCTTCCTCCCCCAAATACCAATGCTGCTTGATGTTAAGCTGTAGAAAACTTGGATTCTTAGACATTTCAAACAGGAAAGCCAATGCTATTTGAGTTAAAACAGATAGGTGTAGGGGGGGAGAGGGAAGAGTTATACTTTGCATAGAATATGTATTAGAATTGAGCAGGTGATTTAATGGAATGTATCATCTGCTGCTTTAAATATCTTTCTAGTAAAGACTATGGGGTTTTTGCAATGTAATTTAAGGGATTGTCTTATGTAAGGCAAGACTATTGATACTGTACGGAATTTACAGTTAACTTCTGATCAACTCTTACAGCTCTGCAAGCTAGATGTAAGATAGTACCACACTTCTGACAGGCATAGCTGTATTAGCAGGAGTAAAAAGAAGAAATATTAAATTTATGATGAATTTTTCTTCTGATTTTGGGGGGGGCAAAACAATTATTTTAGGAAAGATACAGAGACACTTTTTGTATAGCTAGTAATAAATAATGAAGTAAAACACTCCGCTTACATGTGGGAGAAAATAAACTTGATGCAGGTGGAAGTCTGTCTTGTTTTTTCTTGGGTTTATTTTATCTTTATATTGGTTTAGTTGAACTTTCTGGCTGTTAGATATCTTTCTTTTAAAAGCAACTTCCTGGCACATGTGTACTGAAGTAAAAAAAGCATTGGTGACTCAGCAACACAGTAGAGAACACTTTGCATACTTCTGTTTCAAATACATTTATTCTGTATTTAGCATTGTCAAGCTCTTAAGTTTTAAAGTTGCTTCCTAGAGTAATTCAGATTGCACTCAGAAAAGTTTCTGAGGCTGAACAAAAAAGTATGGAAGGAAAAAATTCACTCTTAGTTATATAAAAGGCTTTTAAATTGTACATACAGATTGGTTCCTACTCTTAATGGTAAAAGAGTATATTTTTAGACTGAGACTGATTTGCCTAAATAGATAACTATCAGAGACAAGACATTTGGCCTCATTATGACTTACATAATTCTTACACAAGCATTTGAAAGTGTAGTATCCAGGCTTTCTGTAACTAGGTGTTGTCCAAACATGGGTCTGTGCTGTTGTCTTAACTACACTGATTTGAAAACTGAGCTTTCTGAAACTGCTGCAATCTTCAGCTGTTCACTGGCCTGTTACAGTAGTTGGGGAAAAGCTTAACCTGGAGGCTTGTTCTCTTCTAGTTAGGACACCTCTTGAAAAAAGGAAGAGTGAAAAGTGAGTACATGCAACTACATCAGTATGTTCAGAAGCAGCATTGCCTGTATTAGTAATGTGAGATTACAAAAATGTAGCTAAAACCAAGTTTGTTACTCTTTCCTCATGGTTTGGGTGAGCAAGACTTCTAATTGGATTTAGTAGATAAACTGCCCCACCAAAATTTATCTATCTATCTGCAAGCTTTTTATTTCTTTCTGTCCATACAGAAGGATTGTGAGGAACACATACCAGTTATGTTAACATTAATCACACTTAAATATGGAAAAGGGGGCTAAATAGGATAGAACCCTAGTTGCATAAGAAGTCAAACACACCCGCCTCTCCTTAGCAGTACTATTTTGAATTTAGCAGTGAATGAGAATTATTAATTAGCA